AGATACATGTGCTCAACTTGCTAAATTTTTCAATGTTTTAGGTGAAAAAGTGCAAGATCTGGCTAGTACATTATTTAGACTTGAGAATATTTTAGTTTTCAGCAGTACTAAATTCATGCATCAGACAGTTGCAAAGTCTCATGATTACTTTGAAAAAATATTATCAACATGGAGACATAATTTATTTAGACATTAGGAATTATTACGACATTATTCGTTTATATTACATATTTCTAATTATCTACATAGACTATTTTGACTTATACATGCTAAATCCTATTCCTAATAAGAATAACAAAATTATCCTACCTCTTTACCCTTTTATGGCATCCAACTCCCAGGAGTGTGTGTATATAGAGGCAGAATGCCCCAGAGTCAACGAAAAATACTTATGAGAGCAGAAAATCGGACATCAGACCACGCAACGTGACTGCATACATAGAAGAGATAGATGGAACAAGTACAGCCCCACCAGTTACTCTTTCAAAGGAAGCCTTGACTGAACTGGATAGCCAAAACTACACTATATCCTTTCCAAGACCAACCAAGGCTCAGCTCCTATGCAGCCAAGAGAAACACCAACTACTTGAAAGAATCTTTCTCGCATACATCCTATTAACTGCAAAGTAAAGGCTCCAGAGTTCACCATAATAAATATTGAAGCACGATACGTTCACCCATTCAACTAATTAATATTCCATGACCAAAATTCACCGAGAAACACAACCTAGTGAACTTTAATTTGACCACCATCGAACTTCGAATTTACAAAATATTCAAAAGCAATTGACAATACAAGATCCAATTACAGTAGAAACTGACATCGCTTCGATTATCATACGAAGATTCCTATGTAAACGATTGCACTATTGAGTGCGTTTGCACTGCTCGCTACCTATTATTTCATACGCCGCAGAATGGCTCACAAATTAGATAACCGTAACTCCGCGTCGAAACGCGGCATCGGCATTTACACAAGCTGACATCGATATAGAAAAACGCAGCACATTTGCATTATACATTGGCAAATAGTCGCTTATCTTCGGCAGGGAGATGTTATGTATCCAGATTTGCGTTATGCAAATAAATACACATACCTAAAACGTCAGTTCAATGCCCTTGCATTCACGCACCCCGGAACGCGCGACCCGTGCATTGCAACGTGACCGATGCAAAACTCGTCATTTTAATTATAATTATGAGACACTTTTCGGCCCAACGTTCCTAACATCGGACGTAGATTAAATTCCTTTAGTTAAGATCTTTTTTCGTATAAGTACTTTTAGACCTAACGTACCTAACTTCAGACGTTCTTAAAATTATTTAGTTTAAGAAATACCTTTGTGGAAATTTAATATAGTTATTCATCATATTTTCTCGTCTTTACTTCATCTCCACTGCGGCCACCCTATATAATTTACTTATTTCAGTATACTGTGTCCGATGTTTTAAGTAGCTCGCTATCCAATTTTAGGCTGTTCCTCTAATACCGCATGCTTCAAGCTTGTAAAGGAGTTTAGAGTGATTTACAAAGTCGAAGGCTTTAGTCATATCTAGAAAGACTGACATTACAGGAGTAGAGACGTTTATACTTTCCGTTACAATGCGCAAAAACTCAAAACATGCAAGAGTTGTAGAACTACCCTTTCTAAATCCGAATTGAGAGTGATATATTACTTTATGTTTCTCTAAAAATGCATTTATTCTGGAATGCAGAGCGCTTTCAAATAATTTGGATAGAGTCGGGATTAAAGTAATTGGTCTAAAGTTACTTGGGCTTTCCTTATCGCCTTTTTTATATAGGGGTTTGACAACAGAAGTTTTTAGCTGTTCTGGAAAAAGACCATCACTACTCAATCAACTCAACTGCTATGCTTTGCTGACGATATGAAGATTATTGCACCGATTTCTTCATTAGCTGACGCGTTTAAGTTGCAGGAGGACCTTATGAGGCTTGATGCATATTGCATTGAGAATCAACTGGACCTTAATCCATCCAAGTGCAGCGTTGTAACTTATAGTCGCAAACGGAATTTAGTGCAATTTGATTATGTATTAAAAACCTCTGTACTGAAACGTGACAAGTTCATACGAGATCTTGGTGTAATTCATGACAGCAAATTGATATTCGATTCCCATGTTAACAACATTATTTCAAAAGCGTCCAAGGCTCTTGGGTTTGTAATGCGCAACTCTGGTGACTTCAGACAAGCAAAGTCACTAAAAATTTTATATTGTTCACTGGTTCGAAGTCATCTGGAATATTCATCGCAGGTCTGGAACCCTCAATATGTGACATACATATCACGTATTGAAAATATACAAAAGAAGTTTCTGAAATATTTATGTTTTCGAACCAAGGAACAATATGAGTCAAGTCGCTACATTGACTTTTGCAGGAAGCATCATCTTCTGCCACTGGAGATGCGTCGCCAGATGGCGGACCTTGTGTTTCTGCATAAAATTGCTTCTGGCTCCGTTGACTGTCCAGAACTTCTGTCTCGAGTCGCCCTTAGAGCCCCTGTGAAGTCTCTTAGAATTACGGCCCTTATATGCGTCCCTCCCGCTTCCTCAAACTTTAGGCAGAATGCATATTTCCTGCGAGCAGGTAATAACTTTAATAATATGTCGAAACGGGTTGATCTCGATCTTTTTAACACTAGCGTTGCATCGGTGAAGCGAATAATTAATGGGTTGTTTTTTGACAGTTAGTTTTCATTAGTATTTTAGCAGTTAAGTGGTGGCTTGAGTCAAATAGTAATTATATTAATATTTATTAATTGTTTTGTTAATTCTTCGGTAGTATTTATATTTTATTATTTAAGTAGTGTCTTTGCCGTATTAATTAGTGCTTATATATTTATTATGTCTTTATTAGTGGGAACCTGTAATTGGCTTTCTATTACTATTTAAATTGTTATTCTGTGTCTGTAGCTGTTGGTTTTCCTATAAATAAATAAATAAATAAATAAATAAACGACAAATTTATAATATGTGCAAGCGGATGACAGATATAAGAGGCACGCATTTTAAGTATTTTAGTTGTTATACCGTCATAGCCACTGGATTTGGTGTTTTTTAAAGACATAATTATGTTATAAGGTTATAAGTTTCCTTCTCATTTATCGGTTCCAAAAATATTGTATGGGAATTTTTATTCAATGCCATTGGATGCAGAGTAGTTCCACTATTTGGAGAAGATTCTATTCTTTGAACATGAACAACATATGGTTGCACATCTCTAGGAAGGTACTCCTTCCGACCAAAAGATTGTTGTGTGGTTTCTGTAGAAACTGTTGGTTAAGTATTTATTTGATACAGAAGGTTGAAACGTCATCGGTTTAACAGAGGTTTGTCGAGAAGTGACACTCGATTTGTGGGTGTGGTATTCCTCATTAAGATCAATTGAATTATTGTGGCAAAGACAATACGAATTTTTTTTTAATTTGACTAATTTATGCTATTATTGACTTTCATTCATTTTTGACATGCGCATATTTTATGGAGGCTTAGAAATGTAAATTATGTAAGTTTGACATTAACATGATTTTTCGCTTTATTTTTGACATTGTTAATTTTTACTATTTTTTATTATATTTTTTCTTTACATATTTACTAGTTTTTGACAGTTTTTAATTATAATATTTTGTACATTATGCGACCACCACTAATTATATTTGTATGTTTCGACGAAACTGGTTGTAGTAGCACTGTTAATGTATTGAACTGATCTGATGAACTTATTGTACCTACTTCCACAAATAAATCGATCTTTATCTTTATCTTTATCTTTAATCTTTATTATCAGTTGAATCGGCCTTCTTCTTCCTTCGTTTATTACAATGTCTGCAAATTTTAGGTTGATAACGTCGTTTACGTGATTCTTTACCCATTGAGGCAGAAACACTAGATGTATCCGTGTCCATACCACTCTGATCATCATTTGAAATAGTAACAGTGTTGTTCAAATCATTATCCGAAATATTGATATAATTTGCAACAGGGGGATTGAGGCCTGAGCCCAAACTCCCCCGCGTCGAAGTCAGGAGGGACGTTCATACAACGGCTATCAAGTGAAAAAAAATTACAAAGTTACCAGAATTACAGAAAGAAACTAAAAGATTACAGTTATATAAACAAACTACAACAAATATTTACAAACCATAGCCTCAACTGATCAATTATTCAGTAAAAACAAGAATAATTTTTTTCCTTGCGAAAAACTCTCCCGCGTCGTACGAAGTTTCCCGCGCTTTTTCCCCTACCTTTTAAATTGACATTGGCAAAAAGTCAAAGCTCTATTAAGGGCGGCCATACACGGGCAACTTGAAGCAGCTAGTATCGACTGCTTCATGCAGCGACAAAATAACAAACTACAGTCTTCTACGTACACACATACACCAAACCCCGCATGAGCAGTTGTGACTGCTTCGGGCAGTTTGCAGCACGGTGAAATTGAACTGACTGCTCGAGCTGTCAACTACTCTCGCGCAGTTATCTCCGCCCGCGCTCGCATTCCACGTCACGTGCGCATTTTCGCAGCAGCAAATTCTATGCCACCCGCCCCCGTCGTCGTTTGTGCAAAAGTAGCAGTAATAGTGCTTCTTCCTCAAAAACCATGTTGCTACTGATTTGAATGAAATTGAAATTGTGACTTGTTGAGCAGTTGATACAAAGTGCTGCAGTTGGTATCAAGTACTCCAAACGTTCTCAATGGCAGCCACAAGCTGTTGACTATGACCGCAAAAGCGGTCCGTGTATGTTGATCATTGGCCAAGTGCTCGAGCAGTCCGTGTATGGCCACCCTTACTCGGTACCGTCTTTATCATAAAAAAAAACATATGAATGAAGGAAATGGATACACAATCTTCAATGGACAGAAAAATAAAATAAATAAACATTGCATTATTATGGATTTGAAAGTATGTAGAATATGTGGTGAATATGAAGGAGTTTTGTACATATTTAATAAAACGGAAGATGTTCAGATAAGTGCCAAAATAATGTACTGCTGCTCAAAAGTAAGCATAGGTGAAGACGATGGCTTACCGGCGTTCATTTGTGCGAACTGCGAAGAGGAGCTCGGGGCGGCGTTTCGCTTCGTCGCTAAATGCGAAGCCACCGACAAGACTTTTCGTTCTTTGATGGCATGGTCTCATTATCCAGATACGGTTTTGCCAGTTCTCAAACACGAAACCAAAATCGAAGTAAAAGAAGAAGATATCTGCAGCACCGATCTCGACCATAAGTACGACGATGTACCTGATGATGACGCACCTCTGGAGCTTCTGCCGATCCATCAATTGAAACTAGAATCTAGAACTGTAAAACATTCAAAAAAATCATATAAGAAACATGTCAAATACAAGAATACCGGACCACATAGATGCTTAGTTTGCGGGCGCGAGTGCGCTTCGCCGTCGGCTTTGGCTGTCCACATGCGCTATCACACTGGCGAGGCCCCTTACTGCTGCTCCTCCTGCGATAAGAAGTATAAGGACCAGGGAAGTCTGAAGAGACACGTTGATAGAAATCACACTCAAAGGGAAAGAAATTTTATTTGTGAAACCTGTGGGAAAGGATTTTTCTCTAAAAATGATGTTAAAATTCATATGCGAATCCACACTGGGGAAACTCCTTACTCGTGCAATGAGTGTCCCCGGCAGTTCACACAAGTGAGCGCCATGCTGCGCCACAAGAGAACTCACACTGGGGAGAAGCCTCACAAATGCTCCAAGTGTTGCAAACAGTTCTCCACCAAGGATCAACTCAATTATCACCAACTTTCTCATTCAACTGAGAAAAGCTTATCTTGTGCTATTTGTAATACACCTTTTAAATACAAAAACAATTTAAAAAAGCATATGTTAATGCACACGGCTCCTAACAACTTTGTTTGCAATCACTGCGGACGTACTTTTAATTACAAAGGGAATTTAAAAATCCACATTGATCGTTCACATTCAGAAAAATCAGGATTCTGCAATATTTGCTCTAAAAATGTCTCCAACTATGAAGTTCACACATGGAGGCACACTGGTCAGAGACCTCTCAAATGTGACACATGTTCTAGTGGTTTCTTAGATTTGAAATCATTGACTAAACACATTAACTATAGACACAAGAACCCTGACAAGTTTGAATGTAGCTATGAAGGGTGCAGCATGAAGTTCCCATCTCGGCCAATGCTAGAATTTCATATAGCAAAGCAACATGAGCGACGTATTTCATTCCCCTGTGACCGATGTTCTAGAGGTTTTTATAGAAAGAATGATCTTGCACGGCACAAATTGGGCACACACAAGGAGCGATTGCATACTGCAGTGTAAAATAGTCATCTATTAACATATCTAGTCAGCTGCCATTCTATTTAAAACTTGTTTGTAAGCTTAGATTCGGCTCACATTGGAATCAGGGCAGTAACGCATTGCGATTTGAAAGACTTAAGGCACATATTTTGTAGTTGTCATTTTGCCGAAATGGCTATCAAAATACATAATCCATTTTACGAAAACTTTAAAGCCAATATATTTTAAGAATGATATCAAACCTGGAAAGATAAAATGTCTAATGCAGGACAGCGATTTAAAGTAATTTTTTTAAGAAAAAAATAATATCTATTTTTATTTAAGGAAATCCATATGGCAAAATTGAAATTAGATTGAAATTGGTCTCCTGAAGTATTTTCCAAGTGCTTTTAGACGGTTTTACCTTTCCAGCGTCAAATATGCAGTGCTTTTATGACAATATATATTTAGTCCGAGAACACAATGTTAGTCTTTCAATGTGAGTTGGCCAATTAACCATATAATTTTATGTTTAATATAATGCTGTGTATATTCAGTATTAAATATATGATGAAACACACAAGTAGTTCACTGTGCCCACATGCCAAACTAAATCACACGGAGGGAACAAAGAATCCAATAAAAGAATCAATTTGTCTGCCAATTAGCAGTTCGTTAACAGTAAATATATTGAAAAAGTAGTCAATATTTACATTATATTTGTTCTTACATACAGTAAATAAAAATAAATTGCACAATTACAATCATATACAATATCTGATCTCGTCAATATATTACTTTAAAACAATAGTAGAATATAAATTAATATAAAAATTTAAATAAAAAGCTTGCAAACTTCATATAAATTATGCGGTCATCAGTCAAAAATTCCACTAGTTGACATCAACATGTAACATTTAGATTCAGTGACGGTGTGCAAACGTAACAACAGAGTCAACAACCACCAGACACAACAAACATGGCTTATCTTATGTACACTTCGTCTAAACTAGTTAATTCGCGTACCCGCGATAGGCCGTCGAGCCATCGGGGAGGGGCGCCGCGCCCCTCCTTCGAGTCGGACATCGACTCGATGTCCTCCGTTAAAGCTACGCGTATAAAAAGTCATCGAGCCGGCTTTCGCCGGTTTCTGCGGCACGAACATTGTCAACGTGAGTTTCGCACGATACGGCCCCGGGCGCAAGGAAATTTTCCACAAGAACAGCCAAGCGGAACCGGGGCTCGGGGCTCGGGAAGGCCCGGGCTCAGTCGATGGCGTGCTCCGTCATCTGCAGGCACAGCGCGTCCAGGCCGGAGTAGTCGTCGGGCGGCGGCGGCGGGTGCGGCTGCGGCAGGCGCGCGCCCGCCGGGAAGGGCGGGTACGAGTGCGACTTGCCGCGGCAGCCCGGCGGCGCCCACGCGCGCTTCGGCCGCAGCGGCAGGGGCGGGCCCGGGCGCCACCTGCGGGAGGGACAGTCAGCCGCGGCTCGCCGGCGGCGAGGGCCCGCGAGGGCGTACGCACTTGGGCTTGAGGGGGCGGCGCGCCAGCGGCATGTCGCACACGTGGTGGAAGAACTGGCGGGGCGGCAGCCGGTGCCGCAGCCGCCGCAGCGCCGCCTGCAGCTCCGGCCGCGCGAACGCCTCGTGGTGCAGCGCCTGCAGCGAACGAACGGGTCACGCGAGGTTCGGCAGCGCGGTCTCTGGCGGGGCGGAACCGACCCTCTCGACCAGCCAGCAGTGCAGCGACAGCGGGTCCACGGGCGGCAGCGGCTCGGCGTCGTCGGGCGCGGCGGCCGCCGGCGGCTGGGGCGGCGGCACCCGCGCGCCTCCCGCGCCCGCCGCGCCGCCCGTCAGGCACTTGGAGGCTGCGGCAGAGGCGAGGGTCAGAACGGCAGTGCACCCGCGCCTTAACGGATCGTGACAAATTTGGCATCAAAAAATGTACCTCAAGTGTACTATTTAGCACCTTTTTTTTTTTAATTGTGCCTTATCGGAACGCAACCGTAGCGAAATCAAAGTTGTATTAGTAAATTTTTCCATTGGTTTGGGTAGGCAAAGCTCCACCATACAGCCTTTTCATAGTATTTTATTAGTATCTTTCCTTGTTCTGATGAAAAAGATGACAAGGACCTGTTCTTATATAGTTTACGGGAAAAGTTAGTTAAGTTTATATTATACTTGTACATTTTGTTTTTAGTGCTTTTGAAAAGTAATATCAAACAAATAAAAATTTCATGTCATGAAAGATTGATGCTATTTAATTGCAAAAGACAGTAAGCGTTTGTTTTTACTAGCATGAATTAACAAAATAACGTCAATCAAGCTACTAAATCAACAAAAGACCTATCGAAAGACAGATGCAGCCCCGTCGTATAAAATGAAACGGCATCAACCCTTCACAACACATTATTATGAAATACCATATAAGAAGAGAACGGGCGCGTCATTTTTTCCATCAAAACAATGAAGGATACTGACACATGAAGAGGTACGATTTTTGAAAGAGTAGGTGCCAGTTGTCGGGACCCGTCAGGTAAAGAAAGGAGACACGGTACGACGCAGCGTCGCCGCTTCGGGCGCTACGCAAGCGGCCAGCACCGACCCAGGTCCAGCGCCTGCACCGTGGCGGCGGGCAGCGCGCCGTGCGGCGGCAGCGGGCTGAGCAGCACGGCGCGCAGGCACTCCAGCGCGCGCACCACGCGCTTGAGGCCGGCGCCGGGCGCCTTCGCCAGCTCGGCCTGCGCCGCCGCCACCGCCGCCTCGCGCTCGCCCAGCTTCTTGATGGACACCAGGATCTTGTGGCGCGCGCCCTTCGTCACACCTGCCGACAGCGCGCTTTATTTCCGTCGCGAGGCTCGCGTCGCCCGCCCCGCGCAGCCCGCCTCACCTGACTTCTCGAGGTACTTCTCGTCCATCGCCATCATCTGCTCGTAGCTGATGTTGGTGAACAGCCACACGTACTTGTGCAGCCGCAAGCTCTTGAGCCACTGTGCGACCGTCGACATGCCCGGGTGCTCGCCGAACTTGTTGGTGCGCAAGTCGTCGAGTCGCGTCTCGCTTCCGGTTGTGCCGTACATGATGCTGATGGGTCTGATCTGGCTCAAACTGTGTTCGCTCGACAGAGAGAAACTTCTAGGTTTCTGTACGAACGCCTCGTCGGTTAAGTTTTCCGCCGATGACGACATTTGCATAAAGTTAGTTGTGGGCGGTGTCAAACTGTTTGATCTCTGAGATTTTGGCTGCGCTATAGCCGCATCAAAATTTAACTTTTCGCCATCTAAACTTATTTCTACATCTCTGCCATTTTTTGAGAATGATTCTTGTAATTCTGTGGAATATGATGTATCCAAAGAATCGATGCCTCGGAATTCCACATTTTTACCAATAGTTCTCCTAAAAGTACTGCTGTTGGTGCTCCATATATTGTCTGGCAGTAGGCCTGGGTCTATCCGCTGCTGCCATACAGTCTCTGTATTTCTATTGCCACAGATGTGATTCTCTAGATATCGGAGCCATTGTGTGAGTATCCTAAAAATAAAAAATTTCATTACTTAAAATCTACGTCTTCTGTTTTTACACATACAATTTTATTTGAAATAAATAAATGAAAACTATTTGCACCTGCTTGTGATTGCCAATACTGATGATAAACCTGTAGAATTGGTGAATTTAAAGTATTGAAACTATTGAACTTTACAAAATATGACAAATTGACTTTTTTTGTTTTTAATTAATTACTTTTCAACCTTCTGTAAAAAACCCGGACTCTATTCTGCATATTGACCATATTATACAATAAGTCACAGAATCATTTATTCCATTGGCAAAATAAATTTATACTTGAAAATGTCACATTTAAGCTACTGCTCGTTCACTACACTGACTTCCCTGAGAAGAACAAGCAAAAAACTCTAAGGATTGCTCTTTTCACATAAACCTATACGCTATGGAATACACTTTGAATTCAATTTCTATGGAATCTAGAGCCATGTCATCTTTCCACACATCTTTATCCAACACGTAGTCTTCAACTTTGTAATATGACTTGTCAATCAAAATATTTTTAATGTAGTTTTTAAACTTAGGAAATGATAATCTTAATACATGCACCATAATGTTATTATAAAAACGTATAAAAAAAATTGCTTATCCCATAGTCGAGTCCCTGAATGAATGAAATCATGGTACCATGAGTTTGGATTTAGCTCTAAGTCTAACTCTAGCTCTGATTATGGATATCTTCTTTCTTATTGAATGTATATTTTAATAGGTATATAAAATATTTGAGTAAATATACTGTGTGATGGGATGCCACAGTTATGATACCAGGCTGCTTAAACATTTCTCTGAGAGTAGCCCGAGAACCTAAACAGTACAGAGAACGATTTGCTAGTTTTTGCGATACAAATATGGTTTGAATATCTGCCGCTTTATCCCGCATGAGAATCCCATAGAACATTATACTATGGAAGTAACTAAACCAGTCTAGCAGTACTAATATCAGTAAGCTCACGTATTCTGCAGTCTGCGCATGCAGCAGAGCATACTCTGCTGGTCAGGGAAGATATATGTTGGAACCATTGAAGTTTGCTATCGACGGTCACTCCCAAAAGACTACCGATAACTTTGAAGATATTTTGATTGGCATTCACAGATTTTTAAAAAATGGTACAGTCAGCAAGATAAAAGGCAATTTTTACAAAACTTTTTTTTATGCCATTCGATTCGGTCTCTAGTAAGGAATCAATAGTCTCTATGGTAAGAGTAGCTACTAATAAAGTACCCCGAAGCTCACGAACATAGACTTCATCATCACGTGAACATAGAGGCTATACAGTTATTATAATACAAATATAAATATAGTGTGTTAGACTACAAAGAGCTAAACCTTTTGAGTTAGTGTAGTTAATTATAGTGAATAAAATAAATATTACAAACGAAGTGTCTTCCCCTTAACTAATATTAAAAGATATTTTGTCAATGGACAATTTCCTTACGTAACTTCCTCTTATTTTAGGAAATTATGTTAAATTGAAATTGCTTATTAGTCTTGTAGAATGGCTAGATTGTAATTAGTTATAAGGTTTTGTTTTGCTTTATAAATTTAAAAAAAAGCTGAAGTAACAGAACTCGAAATGTCAGAAATCGCAAAAAAATTTTTACCGTACATTTTGTAGGGACATATTTAGTAATAAGTTATTCTAGGTAATTAAGGAAACTAACAATAAGGAAAGTATCAAATTGACAACGTATTATGTATTTCAAAACAATAAAAAAAAGCAAAATAACATAAAAAAATCTATGATAGTAAGTGCTCGAATTGATTGCCGCTTTGGCGCATGCATCGATTCACTCTCTTCTGCAAAGAGCAAGTAGCGACTGAAATTTTACTTGGATGGATTCCATTGAAAATTGCTACAAGTGCGTCTTTCAATTCTTTAACACTGTTGTATTTTTTTTTATAAATTTCATTTTTTACATAGCCCGAAAGAAAAAAACAGGGGATGGGGATGTCAGATCAAGACTGCGAGGTGACCATATGATAGATAGGACCACGTGTTCCAATCCATTTGTTTCCACATTTGAGAACATTTCGATTAAAAATCATAGTAAAAGCACACCCCAGACACTCCATACAATGGTAAAAAATTATTTAACTACTACTACTACTACTACATACAGCAAGGCGTTATCAGCACTCGCGCAAATGTGTGCGTGAAGTGGCAGGGTTACTAGGGTATTAGGGCTAATTTGAACGCGCCCTAATAATTATACATGTCGATTAGGTATTTATATCGATATTATTATCATATTTTTCATTAATTTACTAACTAGAGTAATATTGCAGATTTATTTCAATAATATATTAAAAGCACTTAAATTGTTATATTTTGGACATGTACTTTTAAATAAGGTAACCACGGTATTTGAAATTGCTTGTCCAAGTTTAGTTTACAATTAGATAAATTCACTACCTACGTAATATTTATCGGCAATACGAATAGAAAATTCGCGAAATCATGGCGTCTACTAATATTGATATAATAAATCTGTATTTTTTATACACACATAATACTCTGCAGTAAATAAATGAAGAAAACAATAACTGAATGAGTCGCAGACATACTTTTTTTTTACTTACTTCGTTTCATTTTTCGGAAAGTGATGATAAACAGCCGTACACAGCACAATTCACGACCATAATAAATAGTAACTTAAAATGATGTTTTATATTAACGTACAAGTTTCGTAATGAATAAATGAAAACTTATTTCAAATATCAAAGCCGTCTTCGCGTGAAAACGGCTCGCCGGCAGCCTTGTTGTCGTTCAGTCAATGTGACCGGCAATGTGCGGGGCGTGGTGCGGTATCTAAAACTAGGGAGGGGCGGAGTGTCCGTTCCCTTAGGCTCAACTCACACTGGCGCAGAGTTGAAGCGTCGCGACGCGTCATGTTTTTCGCCTATAATATATTCACCTCCATTTTCCCATTATTAAGGTACAAATTTGTGTTGTGCAAATATGAAATCGAGCGTCGACGCGTCGGCGCCTAGTAGCATTCGAGCGGCTTCGCGCGATTGACGCGCGGCGCGTGTGAGGCGTCAGACGCCGACCACACTGTGATCCCGGCGCACTAATGCGACGCGCGTCGCCAGGCGGTGTAGTTGAAAAACAGGACGCGACGCTTCGACTCTGCGCCAGTGTAAGTTGAGCCTTATTCTTTATTCTCTGGTAAAAGTGACAAGTCACTATTAACAAAACAAAACTGTTCCAAATTTAAAAAATAATGATATGGTTATTTTTGAGGTTTTACTTAATTCTTATTTGTAGAGTAGTGGCCAGTTTCTTTTCTTAACAAAAAGTTTTCATTTAAAATGAATGGTAAAATGTTTTTGCTATTACTGACATTTTACCTACTCTTACCTCAGTTAGTCTCATAGAGACCCTTATTGATCCTTACAAGAGACTGGATCGAATGGCATAAAAAATTGTCTTTTATCATGCTGAATGTACCATTTTTTCTAAATCTGTGAATACCAATCAAAATATCTTCAAAATTCATTTATAGTCTTATAGAACCGTTTTCCTGTAACGACAATGATGATGGTAGCCAGCCTTGCTGCCCCGTCTCAAATTTACATCCTGTATATCACATCAATGGCTAACCTTAAATTTGCTACCTCCTCTATTTCCACGATTACAAAAGTGTGTGTGTTCATTCAGGCAGGCTTGGCTCAATTGTGATTTTAATTTATTTATGTTCACTTGCCATCATCACCCTTGTGTAGTCCAGAACATTGTTTTCTCAATTAATTGAATTTATGTTCCAATTTTAAGAAAAATAATAATCTTGATTCAGGAGTTTGCAATTTGTATTGACTAACAAAGTAGTGTTATGGATTACACCTAAAACTTCAACTGACCTCTGGTCATGAATGGTGAGTGCTGGATGTACTAAAAGGTAGGACAGCAGTTGTCGACAGAGGTCGGGTGCAGCAGACATACGCCGAGGCGCGTCGACACAGCGTTGCACCAGCACCGGCACTGCACTCACGTACACATCCTTCGCGCGCTCATTGTCTGTGCGCAACAACGGAAGCAGGGTCAGGAGCTGCCGCAAACGTTCTGTTCCTGCAAATAATAATATTGCCTATTTGCTTAAATAGTCACATAGAACTTCAAAGATTACTATTGTAAATATCTAAGCAGGATCTTTTTAACAAATATACATATTACATAAATGGAGGTATGATTGTGGGTAATGGACGTGAGGGAAAACAGTTTTAAGTGAGTCACCGTCGTCGTCATCGTCATCGAGGCGCGGCGATAGCAAGCCGGCTAGCAGCACCTCATCGTTGGCGTCCCGTTCGAGCCGTTCGTCCTCCACGTGCAGTTGCAATGCGGCATCCACTGCACGCTGCAGCAGTCGCAGGCCGGGCCACGGCACGCGCCGTGCCAGCGCCACTGCCATCACTGTGCGCTCGCAGGCGCCACACTGGTCGAACACACCCACTACGCCGCCTAGCTGCTCGTAAAATGTGCTTGCACTTCCTGCGCTGCCTGTACCGTTCATCGCCGTGCCGCCCAGCCGAAAGCAACCATAGCAGACCGATATCCAATTTGTTTGTGTTTGCGACGAGACTCGCTGACGACTGACCGCGTCTTCGTCTAAAGCCTAACTTTATTATATGGCGGCGACGAGCACAGAATATCTAGTTGAATGTGGCGACGGTCGATTTTTGTACTAATATTAAAGGTAGAACGAAAACATTGCACTTTTTTTTATCGACAGTGAACCATTATCAAAATCCAAAATGGCTGACCGGCCAACAAACCATAGACAAGAATAAAAACTTTTGAGTAAGTAACAACATCAAATTAGAGAATCTATATTTAAATTTCCTTAGGTTGATCTTGGAGACAATTTCTACAAGAAACTTTAAATCAGAAGAACAAAAAACACGTACATTTTTTCTCTAGATCCTGCTAGACCCAAATAATCATAGACCGTAAAAAAATATTATTACTTTCTGTCAAAACCATCAAAACAATATTACAAAAGGATGAGAAACATAAGAAATACTACTACTACTTATTAATATGGGGCTAACAATAGCCCCATATTAATTAGCGAACATTTTGGCCGTGTTAATTTACATGTTATTTAATATATACGTTATACGACATGTCAACCGTTAGATAGATGGTATTTGGCTAACATAAGCATTCATAGCCAACTTAAAGGCGAACAGCGCCAAGATTCAAAAATGTTTACAGACGAATGGCAGAATTAACCAAAAGTTTATATGCGTAGTCTTAGAGCATGTAGGACGCAATGCCCTCTGTTAAGGTACGGACAACGGCACAGCAGACTACACATTTTCGTTCGAAAATCACCTCCAGTGCAACGGAACAAGATACGTCAATGTGTAGCTTGAAATGCTGGTGTGGTACAAGCACAAAACAACTATCGCACAATAAACACTACTTTCAATTCGATGTTTTTTCATTTCCATTATCGAGTTCACCGCGTCAAGTACTCCGCGAAACATGTCGTCTTGCGCTTTACAAACTTGCAAAAAAATCTCTGCTGCTATATATAGACTGGATGTCTAGCCAAGGGTGGAATTACATTCCATACATAAGCCTATTTTTTACATTTTTTTTAATTGCTAATTTTACAACATAACGGTTTTGTTATAAATCGGTTTTCGAGATTATGAAACTTTAAGTTTACGGGTCGTATTCTAGAACTCTATTCAATGCTCAAGTCAGGATTGCACTGGCAACACAAGCACTGGAAATACGACCCTAATGGCAGGAACTTGAGTATGATTTCGAGTGCTTTAAACCATACTCAGATCTGACTTGAGCATTGAATAGAGTTCTAGAATACGACCCTACGTCTAGTTGGAATCTAGATATTCGAAACATCGGTACATTTTTTACAGCACGTCTTAACTACCAACAGAGAGACACAGCTATTTTAACATTTACAATATTTGTATGTACCTATATATCTGTACAACTCTTATTAGTTGAAATGAATTCATATAAAATTCAACATAACACTATAATATTAATTAGTAAAACATTAAGACTACTCCATCACTCCTGTGTACAAGTAGTTTTCACTAGAAGCTAAAGATTGTTCATTTTGTTATTTCCAGTAGAAGCTGAATATGGATAGTTTTTGGGTCTTTAAATTGTGGCAAACAAAATTAAGCAATACTGCAATGACTTTACTGTTTAAATTAAATGTTTTAGTTTTTTAAATATTTCTATACATGTCACTATGATTAACTTTGACCATGCTTGTCATTGGCTTCAACGCTGACCGCGAAAAGTCATAAACTGAAAAAAAAACTCCGGACATTTTTTCCGCGGTTTTTGGATTAGATTTTGGATTGTATTTATTGTCATCCATTTATTTGTAAGTCAATGGGCAATCTCCTCTGTCAAATACTAGTAAAACAATACCACTGTTACACTACACACAAAATTGGAAAAAGAAATTCACTACATCCTGTCTAGCCAAGTGTGAAATTACATTTTTCGTATACATGATTAACCAGTACGTAATACATATCGACACCGTCACGTCGATAAGCGGCAGAAAGTTTTGTTCGGAAAAAAAAGCGCGGGAAACCTCGATATAGGCGGGTTACTTTTTCGGCTTGCAAATAAAAAATTTAATAATAATGTAATTAGGTGGTAGTCTAGTATTTGTGTAAACATTATTTATTTGATTGTATATATTGTTTTTTGTGTACATAACCATCGTCATCTGGAAAGTTTCATCATTTTTGCTTTTGCCTGAAAAGGTCGAGCCCCCTAATCCAGGGGGCACGGTCCCCTCAGTTGGTAGAAATGTGATGATTGCCTCCAATGATTCCAGTATGGACACGGACCATACTGATAATTCCTCATTCATCTTCCCCAGTTCAGTCTGTTGCTGCTCCTTTAACTACCCCTTCCACAAATACTAATATTACCCAGAAAGGCCAGGATTTGTCAGGCCGCCGACTATTTGAGCACCATGATATCTCTCCGTATGTAGTTCATGTGCAAAAATTAACCACTTCCTTTAATGACGGAACCTCTACACACACAGTTCACTTTGGCAATTTTCTTAAAAAGAACGGTTTTAAAAACATAATTAACGGTAGTGTGAAAAACATTGGCAGGAACAGAGGTTCCCTGTCCTTCTCAGACTCTCAAAGCGCTAATTTTTTCTTGAACGACACTTGTTTGGTAGCTAGCAACTACAAAGCTTTTATACCTAACTTTAACATTACCAGAATGGGCCTAGTTCGTGGAGTTCCTGCAGAGTTTCTATTGGTTGTCTAAAATCCATATATCTCCATATTGTTAAGATAAGACGTTTAAACTTTAAGGTGACTGTTGACAATCAGCACTACTAACTACGTGGAAATCCTCCCAAATTGTAGTTGTGACCTTTGATGGGCAAGTTTTGCCAAAAAGAGTATCTATGTATTATAATGGTCTTCGAGTAGAATTGTACATCTTTCCAACTGTTCAATGCTAGAATTGTTGGCGGTACGGTCATACCAAACTGCAATGCCGTTCTAAGCCTCGATGTTTTAAGTGTGGACAGGATCACTCAGGTGAGTCATGTTCTGTAGATAAAGATGATGCTCTGTGTTGTCACTGTTATGGGTCTCATTTAGCTACTAGCAAGTCATGTCTAGAATATGAAAGGCAGAAACGTATAAAAGTAGGTATGTATGGCTGAAAATAGTATTTCTTATTCTGAAGCTTACAAACTTCATTCCGCAGTGACAAAGTCTTATGCTGATATTCTGGCTTCTCCACCTCCTCCACGTAGTTCCTTTACTTCCGCTTCTCAAAGTACTACTCCATCATTTTCTTACAAACAAAATTGTTTTTTTAAACCTAAAGACCCACCAAAGCAACAAACGGGCTATGATCAGAAAGCTCATTATGAGTTTGCTAAGGATCATAATATGCCCAGTGAAAGTTCTAATGGAACAATCAAAGTCAAAGTCAAAGATTATTTATTCCATAGGTAAAATACATTTACACTTGAAAACGTCACATTTAAGCTACTGCTCGTTCACTACGCTGACCTCCCTGAGAAGAACGAGCAAGAAACTCTAGGGATTGCTCTTTTCCAATAAACTTAAATGCTATGGAATACACTTTGAATCAAATTTGTGTGGATTCTGGAGCCATGTCGTCTTTCCATACATCTTTATCTAACACGTAGTCTTCAATTTTGTAATATGATTTTTCGATCAAAATATATTTAATGTAGTTTTTAAACTTAGGAAATGATACACTTAATATATGCTCCGGAATCTTATTGTAAAAACGTATACAGTTCCCCATAAAAGAGTTGTTTACCTTGGTTAAACGAAATCGTGGTACCATGAGTTTGGACTTAGCTCTAAGGTTAATATTATGGATATCTTCTTTCTTATTGAAATTATGTATATTTTTACGGGCATATAAAAAAATTGAGTAAATGTAGTGTGATGTCATGATACCAGTCTCCTTAAACTTTTCTCTGAGAGAAACCCGAGAGCCTAGACGGTACACCGAACGAACGAATCTTCAATTTTATTAATAATGAGGGCACTCAGCCTTCCATAGCTGACATCATATTATCTCTGATAAATCTTTTATCCCAGTCTAATATGATTGTACCGACCGACGTTGCCGTGCAAAGTTTAAACCATAACTTTAACATTCACTCCCAACGCAACGGTAATACAGTGGAATTGCCGAAGCATAGTAAATAAAAAATCTGACTTAATATATATTGTAAACAAATTTAATCCTTTTATTATTTCTCTATCTGAGACCTGGCTTAGACCTGAGTTCAGGTTTTAGATCCCAGGCTATTCTTGTCTTGCGAAGACAGAACTGATGGGCATTGTGGTGTTGCCTTGCTCATTAGCAATTGTTATCCCTTTTCTTTAATTAATCTTCCTTCTCATAGTGATGACTATTCGTCATTGCTGCTTCTGTAAATAATATTTGTTTTGTTTCTATTTATATGCCTCATCCGACTACTTTAATACTAAATCAAATTAACAATTTGTTTTCTATTCTTCCCAAACCATGTTTAGTCATGGGAGATTTTAATTGTCAACATCAAGTATGGGGAAGCTCCTTATCAAATTGCTACGGAGATCAAATACTTGACATATTAGACACCAACAATCTTTGCTTATTAAACACTGGAACTACTACTCACATTACTGACCCCAACAACTCTGTTAGTGCTATTGACCTTTCAGTATGTTCTCCTACTTTATCACTTTCCTCAACATGGCTGACCTTGACATGTGATCAGTGACAGTTATCACCTTCCCATAGTCATTACTTTTCCATTTCAGAGTAAAAAGAACTTGAAAAACAAGTCTAACTATAAATATAACCTACAAGGTGATAAATGGGATCAATGTAAAAAGCTTATGCTGCTAAAGGGCGTAAAGAGGCTGAAGAACGATATCGATATAGTATGACTGTCGAAAACCTTGAGTCGCTCAAGTTAATTGTCTGAAACAAAAAAGACTCTCAAAGAGAAGAAGTTTTTAAAGCTGGCGTAGATTTTGTGATTCCATCAGTCCCAGTACCAACTCTGCAGTTGTATGGAAAATGATACGTCGATTTAGATCTGAATTTAAAGTTTCCCCTTTTAGAAACTTACCTTTTGATATTGCTGAACAGTTCATTGACAAGTTAGCCCCTCCAATAACCCAACAACAAATAGTTCTTGAAAAAATTATATTTTCAAATGATGAATCGGGGTTAAGTTTGCCATTTT